GACTACGCCGCCCTGTCAACTAAGTCATCAAGCGTGACCACACCGCCCTGTCAACTAAGTCATCAAGCGTGACCACACCGCCCTGTCAACTAAGTCATCAAGCGTGACCACACCGCCCTGTCAACTAAGTCATCAAACGTGACCACACCGCCCTGTCAACTAAGTCATCAAGCGTGACCACACCGCCCTGTCAACTAAGTCATCAAGCGTGACCACACCGCGCTGTCAACTAAGTCATCAAGCAGGGCCACACCGCACTGTCAACTAAGTCATCAAGCAAGGCCACACCGCGCTGTCAACTAAGTCATCAAGCAAGACCACACCGCGCTGTCGACTAAGTCATCAAGCGTGACCACACCTCGCTATCAACTAAGTCATCAAGCAAGACCACACCGCACTGTCAACTAAGTCATCAAGCAGGGCCACACCGCACTGTCAACTAAGTCATCAAGCAAGACCACATCGCACTGTCAACTAAGTCATCAACAGGACCACACCGCACTGTCAACTTAGTCATCAAGCGTGACCACACCTCGCTATCAACTAAGTCATCAAGCAAGACCACACAGCGCTGTCAACTAAGTCATCAAGTGTGACCACACCTCGCTATCAACTAAGTCATCCAGCAGGACCACACCTCGCTGTCAACTAAGTCATCAAGCAAGACCACACTTTGCTGTCAACTAAGTCATCCAGCAGGACCACACCTCGCTGTCAACTAAGTCATCAAGCAAGACCACACTTTGCTGTCAACTAAGTCATCCAGCAGGACCACACCGCGCTGTCAACTAAGTCATCAAGCAAGACCACACCGCGCTGTCAACTAAGTCATCAAGTAAGAGACCACACTTTGCTGTCAACTAAGCCATCCAGCAGGACCACACCGCGCTGTCAACTAAGTCATCAAGCGTGACCACACCGCACTGTCAACTGAGTCATCAAGCAAGACCACACCGCGCTGTCAACTGAGTCATCAACCAAGACCACACCGCACTGTCAACTGAGTCATCAAGCAAGACCACACCTCGTTGTCAACTGAGTCATCAAGCAAGACCACACCGCGCTGTCAACTGAGTCATCAAGCAAGACCACACCGCACTGTCAACTGAGTCATCAAGCAGGACCACACCGCACTGTCAACTAAGTCATCAAGCGTGACCACACCTCGCTATCAACTAAGTCATCAAGCGTGACCACACCTCGCTGTCAACTAAGTCATCAAGCAGGACCACACTTTGCTGTCAACTAAGTCATCAAGCAGGACCACACAGCGCTGTCAACTAAGTCATCACGGAAGACCACACTTTGCTGTCAACTTAGTCATCCAGCAGGACCACACTTTGCTGTCAACTAAGTCATCCAGCAGGACCACATTTCGCTGTCAACTAAGTCATCAAGCAAGACCACATTTTGCTGTCATCTAAGTCATCCAGCAGGACCACACCTCGCTGTCAACTAAGTCATCAAGCAAGACCACACTTTGCTGTCAACTGAGTCATCCAGCAGGACCACACCTCGCTGTCAACTAAGTCATCAAGCAAGACCACACTTTGCTGTCAACTAAGTCATCCAGCAGGACCACACCGCGCTGTCAACTAAGTCATCAAGTAAGAGACCACACTTTGTTGTCAACTAAGTCATCCAGCAGGACCACACCGCGCTGTCAACTAAGTCATCAAGCGTGACCACACCGCACTGTCAACTGAGTCATCAAGCAAGACCACACCGCACTGTCAACTAAGTCATCCAGCAGGACCACACCGCGCTGTCAACTAAGTCATCAAGCGTGACCACACCGCACTGTCAACTGAGTCATCAAGCAAGACCACACCGCGCTGTCAACTGAGTCATCAAGCAAGACCACACCGCACTGTCAACTGAGTCATCAAGCAAGGCCACACCGCGCTGTCAACTGAGTCATCAAGCAAGACCACACCGCACTGTCAACTGAGTCATCAAGCAAGACCACACCACACTGTCAACTAAGTCATCAAGCAGGACCACACCGCACTGTCAACTGAGTCATCAGGCAAGACCACACCGCACTGTCAACTGAGTCATCAAGCAAGACCACACCGCACTGTCAACTGAGTCATCAAGCAAGAACACACCGCGCTGTCAACTGAGTCATCAAGCAAGACCACACCGCACTGTCAACTGAGTCATCAAGCAAGACCACACTTTGCTGTCAACTAAGTCATCAAGGAAGGCCACACTTTGCTGTCAACTTAGTCATCCAGCAGGACCACACTTTGCTGTCAACTAAGTCATCCAGCAAGACCACATTTTGCTGTCAACTAAGTCATCCAGCAGGACCACACCTCGCTGTCAACTAAGTCATCAAGCAAGACCACACTTTGCTGTCAACTAAGTCATCCAGCAGGACCACACCTCGCTGTCAACTAAGTCATCAAGCAAGACCACACTTTGCTGTCAACTAAGTCATCCAGCAGGACCACACCGCCCTGTCAACTAAGTCATCAACCAAGACCACACCGCGCTATCAACTAAGTCATCAAGTAAGAGACCACACTTTGTTGTCAACTAAGTCATACAGCAGGACCACACCGTGCTGTCAACTAAGTCATCAAGCGTGACCACACCGCACTGTCAACTGAGTCATCAAGCAAGACCACACCGCGCTGTCAACTGAGTCATCAAGCAAGACCACACCACACTGTCAACTGAGTCATCAAGCAAGACCACACCGCGCTGTCAACTGAGTCATCAAGCAAGACCACACCTCGCTGTCAACTGAGTCATCAAGCAAGACCACACCTCGCTGTCAACTGAGTCATCAAGCAGGACCACACCGCACTGTCAACTGAGTCATCAGGCAAGACCACACCGCACTGTCAACTGAGTCATCAAGCAAGACCACACCGCGCTGTCAACTGAGTCATCAAGCAAGACCACACCGCGCTGTCAACTGAGTCATCAAGCAAGACCACACCACACTGTCAACCGAGTCATCAACCAAGACCACACCGCACTGTCAACTGAGTCATCAAGCGTGTCCACACCTCGCTATCAACTTTGTCATCAAGCAAGACCACACCGCACTGTCAACTAAGTCATCAAGCGTTACCACACCTCGCTATCAACTAAGTCATCAAGCAGAACCACACCACGCTGTCAACTATGTCATCAAGCAGGACCACACCTCGCTGTCAACTATGTATAAGTCATTTAGCAGGACCACCCGACCCCTGAAGTAAGTGCCAGTCTGTGAGGACAGGTGAAACCAAGAGGTAAATGTACGGGAACGTATAGCGTTGTCATCTTCTGTACTTTTTGTTGGGCACAATGTGTGAAGCCCATTTCTGGTGTCCCCCGCCGTGATGTTGCTGGAATAGGCGTAAAACCAAACTCAGTCAGTCAGTCAGTATTTTTTGTCTACAATGGAATCACTGGACTGACTAAACGTGACTTCGTCGTTGAAACATTGATGGATAAACATTGATGTAATTTCTCTTCATGACATTTGATATATGGACATGGTATTCTGAAAGAAATGTTATATCGCTCCACGTGAGGGGGGGTGGGGGGGGGTGGGGGTGTGTCCACATAGATCCAGAGACAACATTTACTATGTTTCTAATTGGCAACATTTCATATTATTTATTCTACCATAGTAGTGAACATACCAAGGGGATCTTATCTTATCATCTTTGACCGGGACACAGGTAGTGAAACTACTTCTTGGCTCAACAAAACAGTATCTTGTGACACAGTTCAATAAATGGCAGTGAAAACATTTGATAAGAACGCCTGGGCATCGGATGACCAAGCTCCAGTGACGGAAACTGGTGCCGATCAGCTGATCGGGGAGTCAATAGTTCACACGCACTGTGCAAGTGCGACTGTGAGTGACTGTGCCGCACGCCTCGCGTTTATCTAAGTTGAAAATCCAGGATTCTATCTACAAGTGACTAAATTCCACTCGAATGGCATCGGTCATTCTGTACTTATATTTATTGACAGATTAAACACGTGATTTCCCCCTCTCTTCCCTTTCTTTCCGTCTGTTTGTTTGTGGTTCTTATGTATTTGTGCCCTAGAACTGAGTTTTTGAGCTGGGATCAACAGTATCATGTGATAGATATTAATATAAGTACTGATCTTATTCAAGCAAAGCTTATAAATAAAAAACCAACTGATACAATTGTGTGTTGATTATATTTTATTTTCGAATACTGAACTACGTATTATCTGTGTCTGAGGACACAATTTACAGTTAAAAGATTAGAAGCTTATTAATATTTCTAGTGAAATATGTTGTATCTGACAATGAGCGACGTGAAAAACGTCATATTTTCACGAGTGGTGTCACATGTAACAAGTTACATGAACAACATGATAATAACAATAGAAGAGAAAAGCAATCCACCCATTCCTTCGACAAACAGGGGGCTCTCTTTTTTGCAATTGTGGTATTCATGAGACACTTTCAACCTTATCAAAATCGTACAGATATGTGATGATAAGGACAGGAATAAGGACAAGGGCAAGGATGGCAAAGGGAAGAATGAAAAAAACTCGCAGCTACCAACACGACGTTTGAAATGAAACCCCATTTACACATCAAAGTGTAAAATGGTCTATTTTCTCGCGGCCAAGCAACAGGGAAGATAAAATGAAAGCACATATTTGTTATTTTTGTTGTAATACTTTATTCATGTGCGGGTTGAAATACCAACCAGTCACCCAAGCCAATCCATACACAGATTACAGGCATATTAGTTGCCAACACCAATGAGTTGATGAGTCAGATGATATCAGTAACATAATACAAGCAAAATGCAAGCAATAACACTTGAAATTCAAACTTATTACATAACTTACGGATTGTGACTTTATTACAATTGTAGCGATGTCAGATCCAGTGGAGACATGTATGTGCAGCGACAGTGACGACTCACGGCGGGTATTCGTGCACGATGTCAGTACCCATTTTAGGTGATCGTAGCCTACAAAGCAGGTGGTGATACTTACACGTGAACGTTTCAATAAAGAGGCTTTATTGTGTAATGAATACATTAAACTGATGTATGTCCTGAACATGGATACGCCACTCCAACTGTTATTCTACCGAACCGAGACCCCCGTACTCCCACTGACACATATATTCATCAACAGCAGAGCTTCTTCTATTATTGAACTACCATAAACATATAATAACGTTTGGCAAAAGGACACACATACCCTTGCCATACGTGTGATACTTCAGAAGAAATAACGTTTGAAACAACCATCAACAAACAAATATAATAACATCTATGCCTTAATACTAGGACAGAAATATAAGAATGATAGTATGAACTGGACGACTGCCAGGTCAATAGGTAAACAGCAGAACTGTTAATAGAGTCATTGAATGTTGTCAGCAACACACACTGATATTGTACAAATATTCTTCTCCTGTCTGTACAACTGTGGGCATCACCGTATCTGGTGCGAGTCACCTGTATATTCCCCACTAATTGGCATTCAAATCATTAAATGTTACACTATAGTATTCTCTCTGTGTCCTTAGGTTGCTATGGTCAGACAGTTAATATTTACAGGAATCGTCGTTTTCGTTACATCAGAAATAAGATATCTTCAGAAAACCACACACTGTCGCTATGATGAACAGCATGAAAAACAAAAAGAAGAAAATCCTGCTCATCATTGTGCTGACTCGCTTCCAGGTCATTGGTGGTGGATTCCATGATTCATTCGACTTCTTGTCCAGTGACAGGATCACCGTACCAACAGCAGGAGTGCCAAAGATGCATCTCTCCCAGGACCTTGTCATACGTCCCATCCACGATGGAACAGGTCTGATGGCTTCGTCTCGATGGAACACTTGCACAATCCAGATGGTCAGGAACACGTAGAGAGAGCTCATAATAAACAGGCCAACAAGAAAGATAGTAAACATAGGTAACGAGTCACCATTCTGTGGCAGCAGTCCAGTGACGAAGGATAGGGATACAGTGAAAGATAGCAACACTGTGATGGCAAAGGACACCTTCTCGCCAGACTCCACAGGAATGAGGAACACCACCACATTCACTAATCCCAGCACCAGGACAGGCAGGAGAGTTGTCAGAATCGCCAAAGATGGCTTTCTCTTCAGGCTCATTTTGTAGTATACAAACGGAATACATCTGCCACTGTTTTCAAGGACAATTCTTGAAGCAGATGTGTTAGTGATATCCCACTGGCCGTTAGAGTTAAATAAATCTAATCCTATAGAGTTATTAATCGGTCTTAAATCAACTTCTTTCAGACCATTTTTCCAATCAGACGTCATATATATACACTCTTGTTCATCCAAAGGAAAGTTGGTAACATCCATTTGGCAGAAAGTCTTGAAGGTATCGCCAGGTGCCCAAGTCACAGTTCCTTGGGCGGTAACTTTAATGACACCAAAGTCGAGTCCTAAAGGTTTAACATTAACCACTTGGTTGCGAATTGTGATGTAAGGTCTCCAAACCTTCCCATAGTCAGGATTTATTTCACTGACTCCTCCATACTCGCTGGCGTTCCAGGTTAGAAATTCATCTTTCCAGGAAACTAAGAAAAACCCGTTAGCTGTCACTGTTTGAGTAACTTCATCAAAGTCGGACATGCTGAGAAGGTGAAGTTCTAAAGAGATCGTGATAGTGTCACTGCTGTTCTTGACTGGTCTGACATTTGGGTTGTTGTTTCTGATGAGGTCATTGTGTAGTCGAAGTACATGGTGGTCGTCCTGACCTCTACTTGCCCCCAGGAACAACAGTAGACACAGTCCACATGTCACTACCTTGAGTTTACGCACCCCTCGCTCTATGAACAGCCCCAACACATACATTCTCTGCCTTGTACTTCAGCAGCAATGTATGTATCCCGTTAGGCTGTGAGGCAGTAGTGCCATGAGTCATGGAGCAAATCCGATAAAGTGGGTTGCTTTCTGATTTGTCGTTGACTATAGCTTTTACCTGTACATTGCATAAATTGTGAACGCAATTTACCATACTGAGTCTGTTAGAGTTAATCTATCATCATCCATAATAAAATACTGTGTAATGGAGATACCGACCCAAGCAGCAACTCCAGTTGACAGCACAAAATGTTTTAGTGTACTGATCATATTGCGAAATGCGACTCATTAATAACTACAAAGAATAGCAAACAGATTTTGTTCAGTGATACATTAACGCATTGATGTCAGAATGTGTAGTATCTGACACAGCACTAACCCTTTACAAAATGTTTAAAAAATAACTGTAATTGAAAGAAGCAATTATAGATCAATAATCTGCCGCTTTCTCTTTAGTTCTAGTTCAGAGCCCACACACTGTTCGAATATTCATAAACCATGAACAATGTAATTCCACCCCCGTGTGGAGTATATCCCTGCATAACAGTCTGTTTTATGCCAGCTCTTAGAGTTTAAGTTTTCTGATCAGATAGCCTTACATGAAAATGTAATATTTGCTGCAAAATCCTTTCTAATCATAACACATCTCTGTTGAAAGAAACATTTGTTCGATGCCGACCCACCATTGATTCCAATGAAAGGTATTCCAAAATGTTGCCTTGTGCGCAAGCACTAGTACTTTACTGATGCAGTATTCTTACATAGGTCGTGATTTGTCGCTTTCACGTCTTGTGTTATCGCCTTAAGTCTTCACCTCCCTCTCGGCCACTATGGGGTCGCATATAGACCTGTGAAAGCAATGGTAAAATGTTCTCCATTCGCGTATTTAGATGCTGCTGTATATGTTTATAATTCCAAGCTTACAAGCATTGAATTCCATTATTAATTCATTTGTAATATTTTACAAAGGATTCCATTCCTATTGTCCAAAGAATTCTGGAGCTCTCAGAAATCTTACATGTAACTTTAAAGTGAGGAAATTCATCAAATCTTGCTGTATTTTTAGTGTGCATCTGTGAATTTCATTATCAATATCATTCCTAAATCTACATTAAGTCCCTGCTGAAAATTCAGACAAACGAACAGGCGATAACAAACTTGCGGTTGATTTGCGGTCATTTATAGTCATTCTCAAGTGGCCATTTATAATTTACTTTTAACTCAGCTGTTCTGCCATAGGACTCCAGGCAAAATAGATCATACAGGGACATTGTAAGCAGGAAGATTGTAAGATGTTTTAGTCATTTTTGGTTGATGGAATTGGGCCCATTCTACCAATCGTCTATGTGAAGTCATTGTTCAACTGAATAAATTTGGGAACATATCAAAATAGTAAATTCCGTCAGACAAATTTTTTGTCACTGATGCGTCAAATTTCAAAATGTCTTTTACGTATCCTCCAAGAGAATTTTCCATAATAGCGACATTCATAGAAGAAATGTGCATACAAACAACAATATGCGGAAGAAACTCCCGGAAACTCCCTTCAAGACTTTCAGTACATTCCTAAATGCTAGACTAACCACTATCAGCCAAACATCGCTTATCAAACTATCTCTGGGTGTCTAGACAAACCCACCATAACCAACCCAGACACCAAATCTGTCATGAAATTTACAAAATGGAGGTGTGTAGTAGGAACTTACCCGCCAAAATACCTTCGGAGTTAGCTGATAGCTCGTCATCAAGTGGCAACAGAGTCTGAAGGGCTTCAGTATCCCCCAGAACGGTAACGTGCCAGACACAGGAACCGTCTCCTTTATCTGATCACCACATCTTTACTAACGAAAGGTACACAACAGCAGACTTTGATAGCGAGTCTACAAACCGAAACAGGGTTATAATTTGACATTCCTAAAACATCAAAATGATCCTTAGGAGTAGAACTTTTTATCAACAAACACAGAGTCTGACTTAACTGTTGGAACGATGATGTGTGAAGCACAATTATTTCCTGATGGATCATCCTGTGAATTCCTGCCCAACCAAACCTTAAGAGTGAGTGAGCAATCATCAGTCGAAGAAACTGATAGTGTAACTGATCCACTTTCTACCCATCAACATCTGTTCCAATGTTTCCATCTCTCCGTAGCAAATTCTGCAGAAGCAGAACTGTCCATCAGCAGAACTAAACCTTCATCTGTGTCAGTATGTGTCCACATGGGAACCAGCTCTGACATAAGACACAGCACTTCCAAACTTCCATGTGATACAAATGAACAGAAACATCAGTCAGCGGATTTTGAGGTGATCGGAGTTCCAGCTTCATCTCAGGGCGGCCGACAGTCACATCCTATTGTGGTCTTCCTTCCACGAGCAGGACTGCCTGACAGTATAGATGTAAACACTCACATCCTATTGTGGTCTTCCTTCCACGAGCAGGACTGCCTGACAGTATAGATGTAAACACTCACACCCTATTGTGGTCTTCCTTCCACGAGCAGGACTGCCTGACAGTATAGATGTAAACACTCACATCCTATTGTGGTCTTCCTTCCACGAGCAGGACTGCCTGACAGTATAGATGTAAACACTCACATCCTATTGTGGTCTTCCTTCCACGAGCAGGACTGCCTGACAGTATAGATGTAAACACTCACATCCTATTGTGGTCTTCCTTCCGAGAGCAGGACTGCCTGACAGTATTGATGTAAACACTCACACCCTATTGTGGTCTTCCTTCCACGAGCAGGACTGCCTGACAGTATTGATGTAAACACTCACACCCTATTGTGGTCTTCCTTCCACGAGCAGGACTGCCTGACAGTATAGATGTAAACACTCACATCCTATTGTGGTCTTCCTTCCACGAGCAGGACTGCCTGACAGTATAGATGTAAACACTCACATCCTATTGTGGTCTTCCTTCCACGAGCAGGACTGCCTGACAGTATAGATGTAAACACTCACACCCTATTGTGGTCTTCCTTCCACGAGCAGGACTGCCTGACAGTATAGATGTAAACACTCACATCCTATTGTGGTCTTCCTTCCACGAGCAGGACTGCCTGACAGTATAGATGTAAACTTATATAGAGTTTAAGACAGCAATGGGCTGACGAGGAGACATAATGACGCTACCTTGGAATTATTGACGTGACGGCAAACACGGCCAAGGGGATGGCCAAATAAGGTTTTGATAGTCATACACAATAATTAACGAAAGTGACAGAGTGGCACATGTGGGAAAACAAGTCAGTGTACAATGCGGTCGTGGCTACATAGTGTTATTGCCTGTGGCACTAGGACACCAGTAAGCGTCTAGAAGCCTTAACACCACAGCCTGAACAACCTAATAATCAGAACTGCCATCAACAGGCAAGACAGAATAAACTTCTTAAGCTTCACCCCTATAATAACTATATACTCTACAACAATATGATATAATAACCCTCAGACCATTCTAAACAGTAAGCAACCCTTTCAGAAAGTAAGAAAAACGTTCCTTCTTAAACCAAAACGTCAGTTTCAATCACATCCAAAGCATCATCATCTAACATTTCATCTTCAACCAGATGAATTAGCATTTTATCTTGACAGCGTAATTTCTCTTAACTGTCGAGGTCTGAATTAAAAAAGAAGGAAAATCAAGGAATCTGTGCTCAAATGAATCCAATATGAAACCAACAAACAACACATTTTACAAAAAATAACTGAATTTAGAAATTTATTTGTTTTAAATTCAATACTAATTACTACACAGTAATGCCAGTGCACATTAGAGTGGAAGTACAATCACAAGGACAGTGTTATATATAACAGCTACAGGAACAGCATAAAGACGGTGATATTCACCCAACAGACACAGTGGTCAAGACTCAGGTGTATAAGGTGCACATTAGAGTGGAAGTACAATCACAAGGACAGTGTTATATAAAACAGCTACAGGAACAGCATAAAGACGGTGATATTCACCCAACAGACACAGTGGTCAGTGCTGTATTAGGTGCACATTAGAGTGGAAGTACAATCACGAGGACAGTGTTATATAAAACAGCTTCAGTAACAGCATAAAGACGGTGATATTCACCCAACAGACACAGTGGTCAGTGGAGTATAATGTGCATATTATAGCGGAAGTACAATCACAAGGACAGTGTTATATATAACAGCTACAGTAACAGCATAAAGACAGTGATATTCACCCAACAGACACAGTGGTCAAGACTCAGGTGTATAAGGTGCATATTAGAGTGGAAGTACAATCACAAGGACAGTGTTATATATAACAGCTACAGTAACAGCATAAAGACGGTGATATTCACCCAACAGACACAGTGGTCAAGACTTAGGTGTATAAGGTGCACATTATAGCGGAAGTACAATCACAAGGACAGTGTTATATATAACAGCTACAGCAACAGCATAAAGACGGTGATATTCACCCAACAGACACAGTGGTCAAGACTCAGGTGTATAAGGTGCACATTATAGCGGAAGTACAATCACAACGACAGTGTTATATATAACAGCTACAGGAACAGCATAAAGACGGTGATATTAACCCAACAGACACAGTGGTCAGTGGTGTATAAGGTGCACATTATAGCGGAAGTACAATCACAAGGACAGTGTTATATAAAACAGCTACAGTAACAGCATAAAGACGGTGATATTCACCCAACAGACACAGTGGTCAAGACTCAGGTGTATAAGGTGCACATTAGAGTGGAAGTACAATCACAAGGACAGTGTTATATATAACAGCTTCAGTAACAGCATAAAGACATTGATATTCACCCAACAGACACAGTGGTCAGTGGTGTATAATGTGTATATTAGAGTGGAAGTACAATCACAAGGACAGTGTTAGATAAAACAGATACAGTAACAGCATAAAGACAGTGATATTCACCCAACAGACACAGTGGTCAGTGGTGTATCAGGTGCATATTATAGCGGAAGTACAATCACAAGGACAGTGTTATATATAACAGCTACAGTAACAGCATAAAGACGGTGATATTCACCCAACAGACACAGTGGTCAAGACTCAGGTGTATAAGGTGCACATTAGAGTGGAAGTACAATCACAAGGACAGTGTTATATATAACAGCTACAGTAACAGCATAAAGACGGTGATATTCACCCAACAGACACAGTGGTCAAGACTCAGGTGTATAAGGTGCACATTATAGCGGAAGTACAATCACAAGGACAGTGTTATATATAACAGCTACAGTAACAGCATAAAGACGGTGATATTCACCCAACAGACACAGTGGTCAAGACTCAGGGTGTATAAGGTGCACATTATAGCGGAAGTACAATCACAAGGACAGTGTTATATATAACAGCTACAGTAACAGCATAAAGACAGTGATATTCACCCAACAGACACAGTGGTCAAGACTGGTGTATAAGGTGCACATTAGAGTGGAAGTACAATCACAAGGACAGTGTTATATATAACAGCTACAGTAACAGCATAAAGACAGTGATATTCACCCAACAGACACAGTGGTCAAGACTCAGGTGTATAAGGTGCACATTAGAGTGGAAGTACAATCACAAGGACAGTGTTATATATAACAGCTACAGTAACAGCATAAAGACAGTGATATTCACCCAACAGACACAGTGGTCAAGACTCAGGTGTATAAGGTGCACATTAGAGTGGAAGTACAATCACAAGGACAGTGTTATATATAACAGCTACAGTAACAGCATAAAGACAGTGATATTCACCCAACAGACACAGTGGTCAGTGGTGTATCAGGTGCATATTATAGCGGAAGTACAATCACAAGGACAGTGTTATATATAACAGCTACAGTAACAGCATAAAGACGGTGATATTCACCCAGCAGACACAGTGGTCAAGACTCAGGTGTATAAGGTGCACATTAGAGTGGAAGTACAATCACAAGGACAGTGTTATATATAACAGCTACAGTAACAGCATAAAGACAGTGATATTCACCCAACAGACACAGTGGTGGTCAGTGGTGTATAAGGTGCACATTAGAGTGGAAGTACAATCACAAGGACAGTGTTATATATAACAGCTACAGTAACAGCATAAAGACAGTGATATTCACCCAACAGACACAGTGGTCAAGACTCAGGTGTATAAGGTGCACATTAGAGTGGAAGTACAATCACAAGGACAGTGTTATATATAACAGCTACAGTAACAGCATAAAGACAGTGATATTCACCCAACAGACACAGTGGTCAGTGGTGTATAAGGTGCACATTAGAGTGGAAGTACAATCACAAGGACAGTGTTATATATAACAGCTACAGTAACAGCATAAAGACAGTGATATTCACCCAACAGACACAGTGGTCAGTGGTGTATAAGGTGCACATTAGAGTGGAAGTACAATCACAAGGACAGTGTTATATATAACAGCTACAGTAACAGCATAAAGACAGTGATATTCACCCAACAGACACAGTGGTCAAGACTCAGGTGTATAAGGTGCACATTAGAGTGGAAGTACAATCACAAGGACAGTGTTATATATAACAGCTACAGTAACAGCATAAAGACAGTGATATTCACCCAACAGACACAGTGGTCAGTGGTGTATAAGGTGCACATTAGAGTGGAAGTACAATCACAAGGACAGTGTTATATAAAACAGCTACAGTAACAGCATAAAGACAGTGATATTCACCCAACAGACACAGTGGTCAAGACTCAGGTGTATAAGGTGCACATTAGAGTGGAAGTACAATCACAAGGACAGTGTTATATATAACAGCTACAGTAACAGCATAAAGACAGTGATATTCACCCAACAGACACAGTGGTCAGTGGTGTATAAGGTGCACATTAGAGTGGAAGTACAATCACAAGGACAGTGTTATATATAACAGCTACAGTAACAGCATAAAGACAGGTGATATTCACCCAACAGACACAGTGGTCAAGACTCAGGTGTATAAGGTGCACATTAGAGTGGAAGTACAATCACAAGGACAGTGTTATATATAACAGCTACAGTAACAGCATAAAGACAGTGATATTCACCCAACAGACACAGTGGTCAGTGGTGTATAAGGTGCACATTAGAGTGGAAGTACAATCACAAGGACAGTGTTATATATAACAGCTACAGTAACAGCATAAAGACAGTGATATTCACCCAACAGACACAGTGGTCAAGACTCAGGTGTATAAGGTGCACATTATAGCGGAAGTACAATCACAAGGACAGTGTTATATATAACAGCTACAGTAACAGCATAAAGACAGTGATATTCACCCAGCAGACACAGTGGTCAAGACTCGGGTGTATAAGGTTCACATTATAGTGGAAATACAATCACAAGGACAGTGTTATATATAACAGCTACAGTAACAGCATAAAGACAGTGATATTCACCCAGCAGACACAGTGGTCAGTGGTGTATAAGGTGCACATTAGAGTGGAAGTACAATCACAAGGACAGTGTTATATATAACAGCTACAGTAACAGCATAAAGACGGTGATATTCACCCAGCAGACACAGTGGTCAAGACTCAGGTGTATAAGGTGCACATTATAGTGGAAGTACAATCACAAGGACAGTGTTATATATAACAGCTACAGTAACAGCATAAAGACAGTGATATTCACCCAACAGACACAGTGGTCAAGTGGTGTATAAGGTGCACATTAGAGTGGAAGTACAATCACAAGGACAGTGTTATATATAACAGCTACAGTAACAGCATAAAGACAGTGATATTCACCCAACAGACACAGTGGTCAGTGGTGTATAAGGTGCACATTAGAGTGAAAGTACAATCACAAGGACAGTGTTATATATAACAGCTACAGTAACAGCATAAAGACAGTGATATTCACCCAACAGACACAGTGGTCAGTGGTGTATAAGGTGCACATTAGAGTGGAAGTACAATCACAAGGACAGTGTTATATATAAGAGCTACAGTAACAGCATAAAGACGGTGATATTCACCCAACAGACACAGTGGTCAGTGGTGTATAAGGTAAGTATATCCAGGGCAGAACAATAACTAGCGTCCTCCCTTGTATAGTTCCTGAAACTTCCTGAGTAAACTTGATTCCAAGGCATCAAACTATAGTAACTTCTACACCCGTGCTTACTTTAGATAGCTATACATTCCTGACGAAAAAGAGTTGTTGAAACAATGTTACAAGAAAGCGGACAAGAAAACATCATAATGCCTTTATTACAATTTCAAACAAATTAAAAGTAGATTAAGACAGTTTTCCTTTAATATTTGAGTTCATATGAACAATGCTGGTTTCAGTTCATTCCCCATTTTACACCATTCCCAATTTTACTACTATGTCTATATATCATGTACACGGAAAGTGTAAACAGTCCATCAGGCCACATTGTCTCCAAGATCATGCATGCAACGAACTGAGAAGTAGGCACCTTACATGATTGCAGTAATCCGTCTGACTAAAGGCAGGCATGTCAGTTTTATAAAAGCGGACAAGTAAGGTCTTATCGATAATTTGAACATAAAGAAAACCAAATATGACATGTTGCAGACAATAGCTTAAAACGAATACAGAAATGTCCTTACTTTGTACTTCATTTGCTCGTAGAATTTCAGAAAGCTTTTACAGAATGGTATTGTTAATTATAAATTGAATTTTATCAAAAATACAACAATTGCAAATTGTCATTGAGAATGTTATATGAACACAGACACATTCACAAGGAACAATATTTTGCTGGCTGAAATCAGCTGTTGCAGGCAAGGCGCAAGTCATTCAGCATTCCACCACACGGACTGTTTCCTTGTCTCCCTCTGAATGTTGTGAAAAATTCTCTATCACGTTTTTGACTTTAGGAATTATATTAAAAACGCTTAATAATTTCCTATACAATTAAACCCTCATATATGAATCCAGACGTTTCAAAGAAGCATCAGGTAAAGAACTCATACTGAATATTTATAGAAACAATGCAATACAGTGACAATATTATTTAACAGTTCTTACATTTCCGCATAACAAACGGTATTTTATAGTTAACTTTCACACTTTGATGATATAGAACATCCTTGTGTTGGGATAGTTTAACCTGTATCCTCGTAGGGTTCCATACCGACGTTCACTGAATGGAATGTTCATCCAGAAATTTGTTTTGGCCAAGATCACTCATACAATGTACACATAACGACAATACAAAATGATTTTATAGAACTCTCGAGGTGTATTCAGGACGATCCGGTACAGTGGTTTCCATCACCACTACCAGTAAAGCACACACATTACTTTACACTGTGTATATTGTACAGCACTGATACTGTTTAGCCAACTTGACGATAAATTCAAATATGTCAACATCAGCGCCACATGGGATCCGTGATATTATTGATCAGTGCGCTGACGTTGTTAATTGCGCAGAGTACTAGTGTGGGCAAACATTTTGTTAAATGTATTTCACAATGTGTTTTATCATGTGGAGCTAAACCAAAGGTATAGAATGACGCACATGATCATTTCCATTATGCCATCAGGGTACCTGGTTATAAACTGTTATGGTGTAGCGGTAAGCAGTTTCACCGTATCACTCTGCACTGTCGTGATTCCTATTGGTGGATGCATATTTCTGTTGAAGTACAAGACAGAGAATGTATGTGCTGAGGCTGTTCACAGAGCGAGGGGTGCGCCACCTCAATGTAGTGACATGTGGACTGTGTCTACTGTTGTTTCTGAAGGCGAGCAGAGGTCAGGACGATCACCATGTACTTCGACTACACAATGACCTCATCAGAGACAACAACCCCAATGTCAGACCAGTCAAGAACAGTAGTGACTCTATCACGGTCTCTTTAGAATTTCACCTTCTCAGCATGTCTAATTTTGATGAAGTTACTCAAACAGTGACAGCCAACGGGTTTTTCTTAGTTTCCTGGAAAGATGAGTTTCTAACCTGGAACGCCAGTGAGTATGGAGGAGTCAGTGCTATAAGTCCTGACTATGGGAAGGTTTGGAGACCTTACATCACTGTTCGCAACCGGGTGGATAGTTTTGAACCTCTGGGTCTCGATTTTGGGATCATGCAAGTTACCGCCCAAGGAATTGTAACATGGGCACCTGGCGATACCTTCAAGACTTTCTGCCAAATGGATGTTACCAACTTTCCTTTGGATGAACAAGAGTGTACTTACGACACGTTCGTTTGGGGAAATATTCTGGAAGAAGTAGATTTAAAACCGACAAATAACTCTATTGACCTGACGTTATATAACTCGAACAGCCAATGGCATATCGCTAACTCATCTTCGCAAAGATATATTGTTCAGACCATTGGGTTTTCTTACGCAATGACATCCTTCAATATGACCCTAAAGAGAAAGCCATCTTTGGTGATTCTGACAACTCTCCTGCCTGTCCTGGTGCTGGGATTAGTGAATGTGGTGGTGTTCCTCATTCCTGTGGAGTCTGGAGAGAAGGTCTCCTTTGCCATCACGGTGTTGCTGTCTTTCACTGTTTCCCTGTCCTTCGTCACTGGACTGCTTCCACAGAATGCTGACTCGTTACCTATATTCACTGTTTTCATTGTTGGCATGTTTGTGATGAGCTCTATCTACGTGTTCCTGGCCATCTGGATCGTGCAAGTGTTCCATCGAGACGCAGCCATCAAACCTGTTCCGTCGTGGATGGGACGTTTGACAAGGTCCTGGGAGAGAAGTATCTGTGGCACTCCTGTTGTTGGACGTAAGGAGAACCTGACATTGGCATCTTGCAAGGAACCATTAATGTCTTGGATAAGAGTTAGCAGAATGGCTGACAGAATTTTGTTCTGCCTGTTTTTCATTCTTTACATCCTAACCACGGTCATTGCATTTCTGAAGATAGCGTATTTCTAACATACAAACGTAAAGGGACGTGTTGTTGTCAGCATTCATTCTGGAAGATATAAGGTATACATTCATATGAAAAACGCAACGTTTGGCGTATGATATCTAATTGTTGAGCATATATACTAAGCCAAGCATCGTGTGTTATCTTATGTCCCAAACACACCCATAAAAACGAAGTATGTTGAAATCCGGTTTATGGACGTAAAGAGCGTATACTAAAACTGGATTAGGCATTAAGGTGCGCCTGGTGCACCCTCAACAATCGACAGTAGTACGATTGGGTAACGTTTTTATTTCACAGGGACTAACCGTCTGTATTGGAGCTTGTGTAATACCGTCTAAGCCCCCTCTCGCATTCACAATAGGAAGGAAACGTTGTCTCGTTGACTGTCTAACACCCGTGAACACAGCGTTAGACAACCTGAGCTAATGATGTAGCAATATGACGCTCTTGAAGATTCTGGGGTTGACGTCCCAAATCACGAAGACTGCTTCCAAGAGCATCCAATATGTGTTCGATGGGACTGAAGTCAGGTGATCTAGATGGCCGGTCCATGACGTCAATAGCCGCATTTTGCAGGACATTTAGCCATCTGCAGATGAACTGTGCCCAGCGTTGACGTTCATCACGGTTTAGCTGTGTCAGAATTGGCTGAATATACGGACGTCGGGCAGGAAGATGGGCAGCTCGCAAGTGGTTTCCTATGTTCTGGACGACCTCTAAACAGTTCGTTACTGGTTGACGTTGGGATCGTAACATGATTACGTAAATGACGTAGTCAAATGCGATTGCCCTCTGTATGTGACGTCGGACGTGGCCGTCGTGGCCAGGGGCGATCAGTTGTTGTACCCGTTGGATTCACACGTGTAATCAGTTTTTTTAAATTGTCCGTCTGCTGCACCTCATTTCACGTGCAAGACTGGCTAGGATGCCAATAGCAGTTCAAGTTCAACATTTTTAGTACTTAGCTTGAAAATTGTTTATCTCTCAAGGATTGTTAACGTGTTTTTTTCTATACTCAGCAGCAAATTCTTTTTCAGCGTCACGTTTTCACAATTAGCTTGGCGCATGCAGCTTGCTGGTGAACGTGGCTCACCATAGTTGAAACTGCAGATTAGACCTGGCCATTATGGCATTCACTCACATCAACTACCTTGTACAACCCCCTTTTCAACATAATTCATTTCTCCAAGTGTGAAGTTTCATTTTCTGTTTAGTATATGCAGCCATACCAGCTGCCATGTCATACTGATCCATACCACGAATAGGACACGTCAGTAGAAATATTGTACACAAGGCGCAGATGCCACAACAGAACTGGCAGTTATTACTAAACACGTAGCTGAAGTTATATATATGAAGTCACATATATATAAATATAGCGCTATGAATGTTATAGTTCGGATACCTGGGTGCCTGAGCACTGAACCATGCATTGCAATATCGTGCTGTTTTCACATCTCTTCTCAGACTAGTGTCTGAAATCTTCACGTTTTGCTTTATTTCTCTGATTTAGTAGACGAGAGTAGAGATAAACCGCGTTTGTTTACATGTTCCTGTTTACTTATCAATGACCTTTCCAGTTCACAAATCATCATGGCATATATCAACATGGCTCAGGTAACGCTTAAGTCTGACCTGAGGAACAGACGGTGAACAGGGTTCCATCTACTGGACTCGCGATATCAAACATCTGTGTCTCAACCAAACATAGACACTGACCGTGTTCGTTGCATTACAAAACAGTGATTGAAAAGCAATACATCCAGTTGCGGTTTTTATACTATTCCAGTTTCTATCCCACAAGTATGTAAGTTTAAATGTTTAGGTCATGCTACATATTGACGATGAGTCAACAAGATTACTCTATGATGGTGCATTCTGAAGGTGAGAAGACGGGTTCTCTTTACTGAAGTTACGGTATGTTGGGACAGACAAATACAAATATATACGCCTGGAGAATAATCTGTTCTGTTAGCAGGACCACTGTCGGGCACAACAGTAGTCACACAAACAAAGCATATAATCACGTGATCAATTACCTGCAAACATTATCCATAGAAACACTGTTAATACTGTTTACATATCATTGTACAACTTAGAGAAAAATCTTTATTTACTCGGGTAGGGATCAGTTATGTCCATTAATCACAGCTGCCATTAACTGTGTTTGTCCACGGATGCTCAATGCAGTGACGCGCAAGGAGAACCTGTGAAGGTAGACTCTAAAGGGGTACTGTTTCGTGCCGGTTTCCAAGTTGAAACAAAATCTGAATCCAAAATCTGTACTAAAAGGATTCGGTGTGAAACCTACACACAACAGAGACATGCTATACATCTAACAATAGCATTCTAATATCAGCTAAGTTTACAAATCAATACAAATTACTGGAACAGCAATTACAGTGACAATACAAAGTAGAGTGGCAGTGCGAATACAAAGGCAATATAGTATTTAATCAGTGATAATACCAATGAAGATATTGATGATAATCTACACCTAGCTGTAGCAGTGGTCAGGTTTCAAAAGTATGTGTATAGGCTGGGAATCCAGGGTGCAAATGATCTTCAGACACATATTTGTTTTGATGTGATGTGAGACGTAATATGGAATGCCAGACGGGAAGCGTACCACACTCTGTGAGTGCCTGCGTATACTTGGGATACTCGCCGGTCCTGATGCCATCGCAGTGCTGCGACAGTGCGGTGACTTTTTACCTCGTGTATCGTCAATATTGCCTGTCACCTGCACGTATAAATCTTTATCAGTGTGGTTCATATCTTGACGGGACACTACCATCAGACCTGGAAAGCCAATGCCTTGAATTCGGAGAAGCAGAATGGTCGACATGATTATGTTCTGTCGCTTTCTCATATTTTAGATATTAGTGAGTTTAGTTTTACGCCGCTTTTATCAATATTCCAGCAATATCACGACGGGAGACAGCAGAGATGGGTTTCACACATTGTAACTATGTGGGGACTCGAACCCGGGTCCTCGGCGTAACGAGCGAGCGCTTTAACTCCTAGGCTACCCCCATTTTACATATTAACCACATTCATTTCATCGCTAAACATTAGGACGTGTAATATCACAATGTTATCATTTAAATGTCTCGTGGACCTAATAATTCAATGAAAATCAGATCTGACCATTTTATCTTCTCACGTTGTACTAGCGAAGTACCTATTCTGACACCATGGACGTATAACAGTTGATTATGCCGACCTTTACGTGTGTTTTATGAGGACACGGATCTCGCAGTCTTTAGATTATTCGTGCGTTTTTCTTGTGTCATATCTGTTTATGTGGGATCCCATTGTTTAAACACGTACCTGTTGTGGTGTACAGCATTCCTTCACATGACTATATGAAGGACGGTTTATATATTTATTCACAGTTTATTGTCGTGCAATACAGAGTAATCTAGTATAGATTCTGTGTTAGAATTGTTCCCAACACAAATTATTTTCGAACAGAGTTAGCAGGATTAAGCTTTATCTTAACATCTTTCGTTCTTAATTTCGTCCAATAGACACTATAGAAACTCCCTGAAAATTGTCGCAGGCTGTACAAAGCCGACCCTATGAGAACGTTGCCAGTAGAGTCAGCAGTGACGGAATGACGGAGATCCCCCTGCCACAGACCACAGGGAAGAGACTGATGACGTCAGAACCCGGGTCTTCGGCGTGACGAGCGAACGCTTTAACCATTAGGCTACCCCCCATCATCCTTTGAGGTAGATTAGTTTGATTTATGTATGTAAATAGATTGTACGTCTGAATACGTCATGCACTGTAACGAAATACAATTGTTTTCAGTTTTGTTATTTCAAACACAATAATAAATTTGAAGATTGTAGGTATTGTATGTGTGGCTTTTGTATTTTGTTTCTCTTGCAATCAACAAATAATGTCAAGGTAACAACTGAATAACATGTTTCGCCGAGATACCAACTTCCTGGATGATTGGCCTCCATTGTTGGTCAAATATAAGCCATGAGTGGATCTTGGCTACTTGAAATTATGAAATGCCAGCGCCAGAGAACAATCCACCGAGACAGGTAACATTGCGTGTAAGGCGCTAAGCTATAGTAGTATGTCCATGTGTATATATCACTGATGTTCGCGACAATTGAAATCATCTCCTGCCCTGCCGGTAGTACTATACTGAGTCAAAAAAGAAACTTCACATTCTTTCTACAGGGCACTATAAAAGAACAAGAGATGGTAAGATGGTTAAATTGTTATTATTCCATTGCTGAGATCAGTGTGATGTACTCGATACACTGACAGTGCCATAATCATTTCCATTAGGCTACACCGCCGTTCCAAAACATGGGTATACAGAATGTCAAGTCACAAGAATAAAAATGCGAAATTTCTCAGTTCAATATCGTGTATGGCCGCCCCGCGCATTCACCACTGCTAAACACCGTCTCCTCATCGACTGCCTGATGCTTGTGAACACGTGGTTGGGGATTCTGCGCCATTCCTCTTGCAAGGCAGCGCCAAGTTCCTGCAAATTCTGAGGTTGGTTCCTAAGACCACGAAGCCTTCCCCCAAGTGCATCCCAAACGTGCTCTATTGGATTAAAGTCAGGGGACCTCGATGGCCAGTCCATGACGTTGATTCCAGCGTTTTGAAGGGAATTTCGTGTCAACATCGCGGTATGCGGCCTAGCATTATCATGCTGGAACTGTAGACCTGGCCATGAGCCGCCATGAAAGGAACGAGTTCAGGGGTGAGCACCTGGTCGCGGTAAGCAGCAGCTGTGAGGTTTCCACGGAAGACCAGAAGTCGGGAACGGTTGTTCCCACAGAAAGCACCCCACACCATGCAACTTCCGCCCCCGAATCTGTCGACTTCCTGTACACAACATTGGGCATACCGTTCACGACGTCGTCTCCAGACTCTATGCCTCCCGTCCGCGAATCTGAGGGTAAACCTGGATTCATCGCTAAAGACGACTCGATTCCAGTCTCTCTGGGTCCATCGGAGGTGACGTTGGGCCCACAGCAGACGTTGACGTTGATAAAACGGCGTCAATATTGGCCCACGATATGGACGTCGAGAATGGAGATTGGCAGCCCGCAACCGATTTCGAATGGTCTGTGAGGACAGTCGACCTCTAAACATCTCAGCCCTGGTTCGTGTAGCCGGCAGAAATCTGTCACGTAGGTGACTTAGGACGATTTGACGGTCTTCTGCTCGTGACGTCACACGTGGACGACACGACCTTGGGCGATCAGACGTGGTGCCAGACTGTTGAAGACGACCTCGCAAGTCATACACAGTACGATGGCTGCATCCCATTGCTCTTGCGACGTCAATAACTGATCTTCCCGCTTGCAACATGCCAACGGTACGTTCACGTTGCACATTTGACAATCGTGGCATTTCAAGTACCGTTAGAACTGTGGTTTAAAAGTGTTTTTTCACTTTCCTGAGGCCAATGCAAACACGTGCATATGAAGAAAACTTCGATGCGAAGATCACGAGATCGACTGCACGTGCAAAACCTGATTTGGCACTAACATCATTTGCACAACGAATGGATGGGTTTGAGTGGGTTTTGCTAACGTTTTTCTAGAGTCGAAAGATAGGGATCCCATTTCGTATACATAGATGTATCATCAAATTACATTTTGTGAAGTTTCTTTTTTGACTCAGTATATTTCATCAAATAAAAGTGTTTGTTGCCTAACATCAGTTCGTCTGCCATATAACGACAGCATGGAAACAACAACCCCCGTCCAATCATATGATGGACCAGGCAATCCAGTGACCAAATAGCGCACATTACTGGTTTTGTTGAAACTTAAAACATGTTAATTTTGAAAGGATGGGGTGGGGGTGTCGGTAGATGTATTGCCGTTTTACCGAGTGCTCATTTCACCATCTGTAAATGCATCGCCCCTACTTTGTACTGGCGTTTTAATATATTGAAGCAGAGCCTATTAATCGTCTATCAAATCGGGATCTGACATCGGTCTTAATCAAAACGATATAACGGACATGTAATAAAAGCGGGTCAGACGTTTCAAAAATATACTATCAGCATAATAAGAGTGATGCGAGTGTGTGCGTGCGTGCGGATGTGCGGATGTGTGTTTGTGTGTGTGCATCAGTACGCCAGTGCATGAACACAGGCCAGGGGCCGGTATTCCTGACCGTAGCGAAACTCGCTCGGCAATGGGAGGCGCCGAATATGGTTCTCAACTGTTAGTTGCAACAACTTAGTCACAACATTGTTACAGGTGGTAAAATTCTTTTTGTATTTTCTTTGTAAAACATATCGCGTTATTTTACTTCTGAAACATCCATGTGTGTTTTACTGACAAGGTGTACTGTTGATTATTGCAAATTTGCAAGTAGGTTAATACAGTAATCAGTACCTATAGATCTGGGATTGTGAAATTAGTAAACACTCAAGATCGCAGAATCATCAACGAACCATACTGAAATAGTCAGGACACGGATAAATAAACATACAGTGCTGTACAACAACTAAACTGAGTGATGCAATTTTAACAATATTTGCAGATGCAACAGGCATCACCTCCTACTCCTCTAACACACACAGACACACACACACACACGCACGGACGCACACACCCACCAAAAAACACACACAACAGGGCCCGTAAGCAGGCCACTGCATTTCGCGACCTTAGTACTTACGGTGACAAACAACATTTCATACCTGTTCGAATGGTCTCATGGTTGACAGTAGGGAACCGATCATCCCTGCAGGCATGACAAATTTCCGATCTAACCATCCCAGCATTTGCCAAGTATTACGACTGTCAACAGCTGTGACAGTCAAACATGGCTGTACACTAGGTCCGGTCTAGTAAAGTTATATTTGGCGGTCGCGCAATTTGGAACCAGAACTGCTTCTTGAATATACGCTTGTCGCCGGAAATCTGGTACCGGAAGTAAGCTAGGCCCCGTCTCGCATATCGCGAAGGATGCCAGGAATCAGCTTATTACCGAATGTTTACGAATGACAACACATTGGTAAGTTTGGGCTGCATTTATTTGTTTTGTTTTTAGTATGTAAATATTATTCTGAAGAAAGATTTTCCACGTGTTAATAATCGAATTCCAAATATATTTATATACAAATACCTGTTAACTTCCGCTTCAAATGAATCATTATTAAATCTGTGTAAACAGATTTACACCGCTTATAAAAAGAGACACACTTTGTTAATTTCTTAAATGTTTTATTATATTATGCACCCAATATACTTTGATTGTATATATGCTATATGTATATGGGCTCGTGGACTTCATGCATGATATAGATCTTTGACCTTTACTTTACACCGATTGTCAAACTACACTAGACATGTTAAAACGTTCTATCACTATTATCGAATCAATATTTGTCAAACATGACTCGTTGGGCGTGGCACGAGATCTGACTTGAATTCTGGAGAAAGTGCGTGAAATCGCTCTAGAATCAGCATTCAGTCCGCAGTGGGCACGTGGATAGACCAAGGGTCGTCTGACATGTTTAATGACGTGGAAAGAAAGCAGTGCTCCTCACTGGGGCGCGCTATGTGCCAGGAGTTGTCAGGCGCTGGGTGGCGTTCTCACATTAAACATATAGTTCCAGGGAGGTAACTCTATTTCAATACCTCCAACTTTTACAATATTGCCGCAGCAGTATCACCATAGGTACATAGAACATCTGGAAATAGCAGTAGAGGGATAGAAGTAAACATACACATGGCCTCATTATTACCGAAGCTTATATCACACACGCTGTCATTACAACATTTATGACGCATTTTTAAATGCGCCGTCTCTGTTACAGGTTTAGGCTTGAAAGAAATGTTAATCTTTCAAGCGTTAGAAACATGCTATCTTCAAATACCCACATGTTACTGATGTGATGAAAAGCATCAAAAAGAAATATAAGAAAATCCTGTCAGCCATTCTGCTGACCTGCATCCATGTTATTGATGAGGGATCCGATGTTTCCTTTGACACCCTTTCCTGAGTCGAAGTCTCCTGGATTACCACAGCAGGAGTGCCACAGATGCATCTCTCCCAGGACTTTGTCATGCGTCCCATCCACGTGGGAACAGGCCTGATGGCGGTGTCGCGATGGAACACTTGCACGATCCAGATGGTCAGGAACACGTAAATAGAGCTCATAATAAACAGGCCAACAATGAACATAGTAAACACGGGTATACTGTCAGCGTTCTGTGGCAGCAGTCCAGTGACGAAGGACAGGGATACAGTGAAAGACAGCAACATCGTGATGGCAAAGGACACCTTCTCGCCAGACTCCACTGGAATGAGGAATACAACCACATTCGCTAATCCCAGCACCAGGACAGGCAAGACAGTTGTCAGTATCCCCAGAGATGGCTTTCTCTTCAGGGTCATGTTAAAGTATACAAAGGAAAAAGGTGTGTCGTTGATGTGATAGACAACTTTCTGAGATGATGAGTTAACTATATCCCACTGGCTGTTAGAGTTAAACAAATATAATCCTATATAGTTTTTAGTGGGTTTTAAATCTACTTCTTTCAGATCACTTCCCCACTCAAACGTCATATACGAACACTCCTGTTCATCCAAAGGAAAGTTGGTAACATCCATTTGACAGAAAGTTTTGAAGGTATCGCCTGTCGACCAAAACACAATTCCTTGGGATGTCACTTTCATGATCCCAAAGTCGAGACCCAGAGGCTGAATCCGATCCACAACGTTGCGAATAGTGATGTCAGGTCTCCAAACCTTCCCATAGTCAGGCCTTATCTCACTGACTCCTCCATACTCGCTGGAGTTCCAGGTTAGAAACTCATCTTTCCAGGAAACTGAGAAAAACCCGTTAGCTGTCACTGTTTGAGTAACTTCATCAAAATCAGACATGCTGAGAAGGTGAAGTTCCAATGAGACCGTGATTGTGTCACTGCTGTTCTTGACTGGTCTCACTCTTGGGTTATTGGTTTTGATAATGTCATTGTGTAGTCGAAATACATGGTGGTCGTCCTGACCTCTAGATGCCCCCATGAATAACAGTAGACAAAGTCCACATGTCACTACCTTGAGGTTACGCACCCCTCGCTCTGTGTACAGCCCCAACACATACATTCTCTGTCTTGTACTTCACTTTAACTGTCCAGACTCGACTTGGTTGCTGGTCGGTGATGTCGAGTTTGTCTCGGTCAGGTTACATTGATTATTTGCTAACGAAGGTATTAGAAGAGTTTATTCATACATTCTTTGAATTGGGAAAGCCTGTAATAGAATTTATGTTCTTCATATTTCAATTTTACCTTGACATCTTTCCTTATATAAATACCATACGCTGTTCTGTGTAAACTGCCAACCCAATTAACGACACATTTGTTTGTACTGATCCGTATTGGTCGATATCTTCCTTCACAGAATTAAAAACTATTTTAATAACCGCGAATTACAAGAAATATCCAATAATATGTAATAAACTGACACCTTCAGAAGTAAGTTAACTTTGATTTTTTTCCTTTGGACCACCAATGTTATTTTGATATTTTCAATGAACCAGTGAAAGGCAGTGTTAGCACCCGGCTCACCTCAGGGATTCCTGACTCAGCCCTGCAGTGTATACATGCACGGTATGTAGTTTCAGATTTCAGCAACATTGTGATATCAAATAGGTTATGTTAAAACAAACATACTGATAAAAACAAATAAGAGTTGACAAGAACTGTTTCAAAAATGAAATGACTCGAGGTCAAAGCAGATATTCAATATCCTGTCCAGATTGTAGTACTGGTAGCGCTCTTTGATATACGCGTGTTGTATGTTTCAACTTTATGTGTTGCATCCGTGCTGTTTCGAACCTTCAAGACATTAGGACCCAAGGGAAAGTCTGTGAGAAGAACGCGGGGCAAGTGAGCATTAACTCTTGTGGTGTTTGTATTTGTGTCAGTCATTAACACCTGTTTCTTTAACCCATCCCGATACATCCCGATACGTCTCTATATCTCATTTCACATGAGTGAAAATCCACTTAACTGTAGATGCTGACATTCTTCAGCTAATTAGTTCAAGAGGTTTGACGAAACAGAACCAGATACTTGCACCAACCCAATAAGAACCAAACTATGACGAGTAAAGCCATGTCTCCCCTGTAGACAGGAAATGCTGACCTGGGCAACAGGCGGCTCGAAAACGCGGTCCTGTTACTTAACTTAACACCAATTCCTTCCTTTAGGATGATTAAAAGTGAGCAAGTGTATTTTGACGCCGCTTTTATCAATGTCGACTAGTATCACGACGGGAAGTGATCCGAAATGTGCTGCGCATATCGTGGACCAACGAACCGGGACTTGGGCGGGACGAGCTAACAACATAACCATTTTGACCACCCGATTGCCCCAACAATATCAAATGTATGTTAGACATCAGACAAAAGTTAAGAGATAGTGACTATATTGAATATGTGAAAACGTTTGATATAACTGGTGTGAGTGAGTTCTTATTTCTGAATGAGTTAGTATGGTTTTACGCCGCTTTTAGCAATATTCCCGCAATATCACGTCGGGGGACACCAGAAATGGGCTGCACACATTGTGCCCATGTGGGGAATCAAACCTGGGTCTTCGGTGTGACCAGTAAAACCTTTAACCACTAGGCTACCCCCACCGCCCCTATAACTGGGGTGACAGACCCTTGGTTGGACAATGTAAATCCCTTGTATGTAAATACGGCAAATACGGTAAATATTTCCAGACAGTTTGTTATACTCACGAGATGCTGTTATCACTTGTGTTGGAGACATAAACATCGGACATGGACGAGAGGAAGTTTTGCTCGAGACAGTATTTGCGGATGTATTGAAGGGCAGAGGCAATGGTGCTCAGGATGGGATTTTACGTGCGATTGTTTCAGCCGTTCATCAAGCGATAAAACTGTAAACACCTTTGTGTAGAGCCCGTCAATATTGCTGACTGGTATGCACATTTTGTTACTTTCATCAACTGTACCAGGCGAGTTTCCAAGAGGATTCGGTGACGATAACAGATTCACGTATATATACACTTGGTCACTTGCAAAAACAAATTAGTGTATTAAGACTGTGTACTGTGACGTCACCACGCTCTGTCAATGTTCTATCACTACATCATCTGGGATGTCACCACGCTCTGTCAATGTTCTGTCACTACAACATCTGGGATGTCACCACACTCTGTCAATGTTCTGTCACTACAACATCTGGGATGTCACCACACTCTGTCAATGTTCTATCACTACATCATCTGGGATGTCACCACACTCTGTCAATATTCTGTTACTACATCATCCGGGATGTCACCACACTCTGTCAATGTTCTGTCACTACATCATCTGGGATGTCACCACACTCTGTCAATGTTCTGTCACTACATCATAAGGGATGTCACCACGCTCTGTCAATGTTCTGTCACTACATCATCTGGGATGTCACCACACTCTGTCAATGTTCTGTCACTACATCATCTGGGATGTCACCACGCTCTGTCAATGTTCTCTCACTACATCATCTGGGATGTCACCACGTTCTGTCAGTGTTCTGTCACTACATCATCTGGGATGTCACCACACTCTGTCAATGTTCTGTCGCTACATCATCTGGGATGTCACCACACTCTGTCAATGTTCTGTCTCTACATCATCTGGTATGTCACCACGTTCTCTCAGTTTTCTGTCACTACATCATCTGGGATGTCACCACGTTCTGTCAGTGTTCTGTCACTACATCATCTGGGATGTCACCACACTCTGTCAATGTTCTGTCACTACATCATCTGGGATGTCACCACGCTCTGTCAATGTTCTGTCACTACATCATCTGGGATGTCACCACGCTCTGTCAATGTTCTGTCACTACATCATCTGGGATGTCACCACGCTCTGTCAGTGTTCTGTTACTACATCATCTGGGATGTCACCACACTCTGTCAATGTTCTGTCACTACATCATCTGGGATGTCACCACACTCTGTCAATGTTCTGTCACTACATCATCTGGGATGTCACCACGCTCTGTCAATGTTCTGTCACTACATCATCTGGGATGTCACCACACTCTGTCAATGTTCTGTCACTACATCATCTGGGATGTCACCACACTCTGTCAATGTTCTGTCACTACATCATCTGGGATGTCACCACACTCTGTCAATGTTCTGTCACTACATCATCTGGGATGTCACCACACTCTGTCAATGTTCTGTCACTACATCATCTGGGATGTCACCACACTCTGTCAATGTTCTGTCACTACATCATCTGGGATGTCACCACACTCTGTCAATGTTCTGTCACTACATCATCTGGGATGTCACCACGCTCTGTCAATGTTCTGTCACTACATCATCTGGGATGTCACCACACTCTGTCAATGTTCTGTCACTACATCATCTGGGATGTCACCACACTCTGTCAATGTTCTGTCACTACATCATCTGGGATGTCACCACACTCTGTCAATGTTCTGTCACTACATCATCTGGGATGTCACCACGTTCTGTCAATGTTCTGTCACTACATCATCTGGGATGTCACCACACTCTGTCAATGTTCTGTCACTACATCATCTGGGATGTCACCACACTCTGTCAATGTTCTGTCACTACATCATCTGGGATGTCACCACACCTCTGTCAATGTTCTGTCACTACATCATCTGGGATGTCACCACACTCTGTCAATGTTCTGTCACTACATCATCTGGGATGTCACCACACTCTGTCAATGTTCTGTCACTACATCATCTGGGATGTCACCACACTCTGTCAATGTTCTGTCACTACATCATCTGGGATGTCACCACACTCTGTCAATGTTCTGTCACTACATCATCTGGGATGTCACCACACTCTGTCAATGTTCTGTCACTACATCATCTGGGATGTCACCACACTCTGTCAATGTTCTGTCACTACATCATCTGGGATGTCACCACACTCTGTCAATGTTCTGTCACTACATCATCTGGGATGTCACCACGCTCTGTCAATGTTCTGTCACTACATCATCTGGGATGTCACCACACTCTGTCAATGTTCTGTCACTACATCATCTGGGATGTCACCACGCTCTGTCAATGTTCTGTCACTACATCATCTGGGATGTCACCACGTTCTGTCAGTGTTCTGTCACTACATCATCTGGGATGTCACCACACTCTGTCAATGTTCTGTCACTACATCATCTGGGATGTCACCACACTCTGTCAATGTTCTGTCTCTACATCATCTGGGATGTCACCACGTTCTGTCAGTGTTCTGTCACTACATCATCTGGGATGTCACCACGTTCTGTCAGTGTTCTGTCACTACATCATCTGGGATGTCACCACACTCTGTCAATGTTCTGTCACTACATCATCTGGGATGTCACCACGCTCTGTCAATGTTCTGTCACTACATCATCTGGGATGTCACCACGTTCTGTCAATGTTCTGTCACTACATCATCTGGGATGTCACCACGCTCTGTCAGTGTTCTGTTACTACATCATCTGGGATGTCACCACACTCTGTCAATGTTCTGTCACTACATCATCTGGGATGTCACCACGTTCTGTCAATGTTCTGTCACTACATCATCTGGGATGTCACCACGCTCTGTCAATGTTCTGTCACTACATCATCTGGGATGTCACCACACTCTGTCAATGTTCTGTCACTACATCATCTGGGATGTCACCACACTCTGTCAATGTTCTGTTACTACATCATCTGGGATGTCACCACACTCTGTCAATGTTCTGTCACTACATCATCTGGGATGTCACCACACTCTGTCAATGTTCTGTTACTACATCATCTGGGATGTCACCACACTCTGTCAATGTTCTGTCACTACATCATCTGGGATGTCACCACACTCTGTCAATGTTCTGTCACTACATCATCTGGGATGTCACCACGCTCTGTCAATGTTCTGTTACTACATCATCTGGGATGTCACCACACTCTGTCAATGTTCTGTCACTACATCATCTGGGATGTCACCACACTCTGTCAATGTTCTGTTACTACATCATCTGGGATGTCACCACACTCTGTCAATGTTCTGTCACTACATCATCTGGGATGTCACCACATCTGTCAATGTTCTGTCACTACATCATCTGGGATGTCACCACACTCTGTCAATGTTCTGTCACTACATCATCTGGGATGTCACCACACTCTGTCAATGTTCTGTCACTACATCATCTGGGATGTCACCACACTCTGTCACCTGTCACTACATCATCTGGGATGTCACCACACTCTGTCAATGTTCTGTCACCACACTACATCATGTCACCACACTCTGTCAATGTTCTGTCACTACATCATCTGGGATGTCACCACACTCTGTCAATGTTCTGTCACTACATCATCTGGGATGTCACCACACTCTGTCACCACACTCTGTCAATGTTCTGTCACTACATCATCTGGGATGTCACCACACTCTGTCAATGTTCTGTCACTACATCATCTGGGATGTCACCACACTCTGTCAATGTTCTGTCACTACATCATCTGGG